CAAGTCTTGGTTCTTCACCAAAAAATACCGATCTGTACCATTACATTTTTTTCTTGATTTGAAAATCGACTGTTAAAGGCCAGGCCAGGCAGAATTAGAGATTTTGTCGGGATGCGTCGCGTCGCGTCGCGTGACGCGTCCACGGGATGCAAAAATTAAAACTAGAGAGATCCACCTAATTCCATTGCTATCCGAATTCCAAAAAAGCCCTTGTTTAGCCATTCATTGGAAAAATTAGAGTGCAAGATCATAAAGAGCAAGAGCACGATTTCACAATAAAAATCCAACAATACAGCCGGATGGGGTCAAATAAAGATAGGATGAGTGCAAAAAAGGGACATGGTTCTCGGAAGGGGGCTGGAAAGAGAGAGACTAGACATGCCCCCGGTCTCCACCTCCCCCAACGAACATAAACATTTCAACGGACGAAAAAAGCGACGTTTACAGTCGTTCCTCTCGTAGCCACCGGCTGATAACGCGTTCCAGTGCGCTAGGCTGTTGGCAAAAAGCCGAGTGGAAGTTGCCAGTTGTCGAGACTACAGGTGATACTAATTAAGGATGGTAGAAGGAGACTGAAAATTTAGAGTTAGGGGTTTTCATCAGAAATCTGTGACAGCGAAGTCTGTGTAGACTTCTGCCCCCGGGCCAAGGGTAAACGAAGCCTGGCCAAAGCCCCAGACGTTGTAGGTCAAACGTCACCGAGATCCAAAACTCCCACGACCCGACAATGAGCATGAGCTTCCGGCAAGGCCTAACCATATCGCAAAGCTAGGCCATGTCCAAACTTTTGCCCCGGGCCAAGGGTAAACGAGAGCTGGCCAAAGCCCCAGACGTTGTAGGTCAAACGTCACCGAGATCCAAAACTCCCACGACCCGACAATGAGCATGAGCTTCCGGCAAGGCCTAACTATATCGCAAAGCTAGGCCATGTCCAATCATAAGTCCAAATCTAACCTGCTGAAGCCTGCGCTTGTGCTTTGAAGCAACAAGCTTAAAAGCGGTACTGAACTGTTAGGGGAATTTTTAGCGCACGAAATCATTTTTTCCTAGTAATCTCGTAGGGTATCACAGCGAAATAGCGCGCCGACGTTTTTCCACAGCATTTTATGGAGTTTTCAAATGGAAATATATAGAAAATTACACAATTTTTATGTTTGCTTTTTTCTGATCAAAATGTGTGGAAAAAGGAACCAAAATGGCTCGATTCTGTAATTTTTCTTATATTTCTATAGCGTGTTAGCGAACAAAAACCACCAAAAACCAATCATATCTTATTAACCAACGGAAAACCCATTAGCAGCTCTAATGAATTTCCTAGCTACCATACCCAGTCCCAGAAATCACATCGAAAAGACAGAAAAAGGAAACATTTCTCTCAAAAATATGAAAATTTTAAAACAACCGAAGGTGTTTCATACCTTCTGGGGTCCTAAATATACAGATTCCACTAGACAAAAATTTTTGACCTTAAAAATTAACATTTCAAAGATTTATCAGACTACCGTATCCAACCTAAAGCTTGCCCCAGGCTACCGTATCCAACGCCGTCTGGAAATAGAAAGAATCAAGAAGCTTTTAGCCGCCGAAATGAATGTCTTGTTGGGGGCGCGAGATCAGCCGTTCGGGCAGTCAGGCTTATCCCCTCTTTCCCGCCACCCACAGGCCGGATGGATAGGCCGGGTGAGAGTGGATTTGAGGTAAGAGAGGCGGTTACCACGGCAATCCATTGGGGCCCAGGGCCCTGTCACTGAGCTGCTGGCTAATGAGACCCCGGATATACACACCCACATAGAATGAGAGAGATTGCAAATGGGGTGGACAAACATCAGGGAATTAGGATTAAAGGAGCCGGGAAGGTATGGCTATGGGTTTTGACGCTATAGATTCGCGGCGACGCAAGACGCAATGCCGCTTAAAAGTTGCGCAGTTGTCTATGTCTAGTATTTTGAATCGTCGTCTCTTTCTCTCTCTCCCTAGCTATTTCACTCTTTTCAAGAGATCTTCTCCGGTTGTGTCTGACTACGCAACGCTACTGCACGCATTCAGCAAGGGCGTACGCGTAGAGCCTGCTGTAAAGCGTAGCATTCAACACCTATTTTTGGGGAAATCGCGAATTCTGATCATTGTTAGCTTTTTCCGACGCAGCTGCTTTACAGGCTTGTGAGGCCAAAGATCTTGAATTTCCTAAAGCGAAAGAGATGATGAGGTAGGGAGAAGAGATGCTGGTAAAGAGAGAGAGCGAGAGAGAGAGAGAGAGAGAGAGAGAGAGAGAGAGAGAGAGCGAGAAAAAGGCATAACGAGATAGAGAGGGTGCGAAAATTCCAGGCTACCGTAATCCAAGTTGCTGTTTCAAAACGAAAAACATTTCAAAGACACCCCCCAAAACCCGTCTATGCAAAGGCGGCCATATCCACCTAGTCGATCCATGCCCGCTGCCGGGAACTTATTTGCCAAAGGGGGAATATTAGATCACAACGGTGGAAAGGGGGAGGGGATTAAGGTGGACTGCCCGGGTGGCTAGAAGGGGATTGGCCCTATAGGCCCCCATAGGAAGGGCCCAGGCTGGGTCTCAAGGGGCCCGGCCCCAGGGCTCGCAAGCCATTGGCCCATCGAAAGCAATCAGAAAAGTTGAACAGGGACCCTTTCATGGGCCCTTTCGGGGTGGATGACCCAATCCACCTGATAGGGCTTTGGGCCATCTTGTCCTCTTGAGTGGGAATGGCAATTTCGAGAGAGGTTAGGGCAGGAAATGGAGCCGAAAAGGGTATTAAAGGGATAGGAAAGGTTTCATTATAAATCTGCTAAAAATCTGTAGTTTTGTCATGCCGCGACACGCACCGTGCGCGCAACGCGTAATGCGTAATCGGTTACGAGAGCTTTTTACGGTTCTCAAGGCAGCGACACGCAACGCGCGCACCACCGCGTAAGGGGAGGGAGCTCACCGCAGCGCTCGCGTTCCGTGTCGCGGGGCGCAGAAAAATCCATGAATACATAGTGAAAAATCCATAGCCATGCTCCTTTAAACGTTAGACTTTAGGCTTCACGTTTTTTAAAATAAACTGTCTTTTAAAAGGTTAGCCAAATCAAAGCCACAAAACCCAGGCCAACTAGCAAAGATCCTTTAGGAAGCAGACCATTCGGACGCAAAATTAACCGATTACAAACCGACCCTCCAGTCCCCTAATAGGCACCCCATCGGAGTGGTTGCTTATTTAGCGATATGTTGTTGTTGGGAAGGGCCATCCATCCCTCCATCCCTCCATCCCCTCTATTCCACGACCCCTTCCAGGTGGTTCCACTGAAGCCGCCAAAGCGATCGCCCCTCAGGACGCGAGCTACCGATAAACATGTGTGTGCCATTTAGATCGGGTCTTTAGAATAGAACTGCAAGCAGTAAAGTTGCCACTTACAGGGGCGTTAAAGCTAGGTGAAGATGATTTGAGACTGAACCAGTTACCTGAACCAAAGCTCAAGGAGGTCAAGTGATTACAAACTTTAAATCCACATCTTCCGTAGATTGGGTAAAGAGAGAGAGTGAGTGAGGGAGTGAGAGAAAATGAAAGCGAGATAGAGAGAGCGAGAGTGGGAGACAGAGAGTGAGATAGATACGAATAGAGAGGCAGAGGGAGAGACACAAAGAGAGAGCGAGGAGAGAGAGAGAGCGAGAGAGACGGAGCGAGAGAGACGAAGCAAGGCGAATAGAAAAAGACGCATAGAAAAATGTCATGTTTCCTACTTTCCAAGCCCTTTAAGACTGGGCCCTTTCCTGGACTACAAAACTACTCTCTCGGTAAGTCCTGCAGATTCGTGATTACCGTAATCAACCGTGTTACCGTCGCCATATCGAGCTCAGTTTTTCTAAACCTGCTAATTTTTCCACCTTGATTTTTCCCATTTTAAAATTTTTCCTTTGTTTAAAAATTCCGTTCATTGCAAGGCACCTTTTCCTTCAAAAACTCCTTCAATTCTCAATCAGCTGTCCCAAGCAGCCAGATGTCAGGGCCCTAGGCTACGCGGCACTCCTCTGGACACAGCGATCGGACGCGCTCTTGGGAACCATTATTCTTATTGGCCCCTCGGCACCTCCCCGTGATAAACTTTTACGAGCACCCCCCGGCCCCCACCTAAACGTTCCCGCCCCGGGTTTTTCGAGGCTCATAATGCCCAGCTAATTCGATACCTTTGCTCCTAAAAATGTGGATCCGGGCCCTGCTTTGGCTGCCACTGCTATTTGGTAGGTTTTTTACAAAATGTTGAGGCGCTAAATCTTTTAGAAAATGTTTTGGCCGACGACTATTTTTCAATTGGGGCTCATTTATCGGCCGATGCTTTGAGTAGGGCGTTACGCGGGACGGTTAATGATTTATTGCAAATACCGAGGGCCCAGGTGGGTAGAAAAATACTAAAAAAATACACGGTTGAATTACTTGTAAAAATTCATCAAATAAGATCAGAAAAACAAAATTTTATACCAAGTAAGAAAACATTAAAGTAAGAATATATTGAGTAAAACTTAATTTTTTACGTATTAAATTAATTTTCAGAACAATATCACGATCCCGGTCTTCCAAAAAGTTGACCTTAAACCACAGGCTTTTCTCGACGAGTTGGCCGAACAATTGGACGAGAGATTTTTAGATATCGTAAGACCTTAGAATTTTGATTGTATATCTTGATTTTCCAGAAACAACAGCTAGCCAACATCGCCAAGAAGGTCACCGTCAAGTCGAAGAAGGATGGCAATAGCTGCGGACAGCTGGTGAACTCGTTTTTGTTCCCGACTTCTGCTTCGAATTGCTGCCCGACAGTTGAGGGAGAAGCAGATTTTGAGGTCGATCGGAATGGTGGGTGAGAGAGAGATAGAGAGAGAGACACAGAGAGCGAGAGAGAGAGAGAGAGAGATAGAGAGAGAGAAATTATAACTTTCCAGCTACGACGCTCCTTCTCCGAAATCCGGCTGTTCAATCATTGTTCATCTACAATTCTAACCAGCTGTCAGAATGTCCTCCCAGAAGATCATCTACGGATCGGTAAGTCTGTCCGGAAGCTTCCTAAAGCTTAAAATTATCTCTCAGGGCCCAACATTGGCGACAAATCCTTTCCGGGCTACATCAAGGTGTTCGTCGTGATGTCGTGATTGCAATTGATATGAGTAAGTTAAAGGGGCCGACAACTTACCGTAGTTGTGGACTATTCTGTAAAATTCGGAATAGAAAATGTGCTTGTTTTAGACGACCTGCACACGGACGCTGAGCTGCAGCAAGTCAAGACGACTGCTAAGGCCTTGCTGGACGTGGTGCTGGCAGGCGATCGTTATTCGATTGTTGCAAATTCTAATAATGGTTAAAAAAATTTTAATAATGCCAAAAAGGAATTTTCTAGGGTTGGAAACGCATTGCAGTTCGTCGATTTCTCATTTGCAAGAGATTGTGAAGAATTTGAGGTGAGAAAAAAATCGGAAGACGCGGAGAGAGAGAGAGAGAGAGAGAGAGAGAGAGAGAAATATAACAAATTACAAATTCATTTTTTAGAATCCCCGAAGAAGGTAAAGTCCGCAGCTCTCATCCCGAATTGATGAAAGCGGCCACAGATGTCTGGAAAGCAAATAATAACACGAAGCATATTATACATGTAAGCTACCTTTTTCTGATCAAAAATGCTTTATTAACTTTAGTACATCTCTCGCGGAATCCTCTCCGAAATGTCTGAAGCTATGAAAACCCTTGAAGTGTTGGCTGTCCGATACCTTGACCTCCCCTACCCATTCCGCGTCAATACTTTTGCCATTGGAGAGGGTAATTTGGTGAATTCAGTCTGTAAAGTAATTTTTAGAAAACGGGGCTCAACTACTGTGGCCAAAGGAATTTTTGCGGAGCGTAGCGGAACTCGATTTCGGGCGGTACAAGCAGTCGATGAGGGAGGAGGTGCAAAATCGACTGAACGGATCGCAGGGGAATTCTGGGAGAGGAGAGGTGAGAGAGAGTCAAAGAGAGAGAGAGCGAGAGCGAGTAAGAGAGGCAGAGAGAGAGAGAGAGAGAGAGCGAGAGAGAGATATAGAGACGAAAATACTGAAAATTTTAGTTAACCGTGCTCAGCGTCAAAAACCCAAACGATTGGCCACTCCAATACATTACAAAACTACTCGACTTCAACGACCCAATTCCACAAGAATCTCTGCAATCCAGCATAGAGGGCCAGAAGGTCTAAAAAATCTATAGAAATCCTTAATTTCCTTTAGATTACGATCTACGAACGAGCGGCCGATGCGTTAATTGGAGCCGTAGTTGACGGCATCATACTTTTCGACCAGCCCATCAGCCATAATTTGGTGCTTTATGCGAATGCGGCAGCTGAGCTTCACGTATACTTGCTGACGGAGGAAGGGTATTTCTATACAAAACTGGCTTAAAGCAATTTTTTTAGAAAAGTGGTAGCTTCAAGCCGAACATCGGAAATCGATACCTTAAAGCTAAACGAATTGGACCTATGGACAAGCCCGGACGGCACTTTACCTTTTAAGGTAAGTTTAAGCTTTTGCCTAAACCTACGCCTAAGCCTAAGCCGAAGCTTAGGACTGATTGAAGCCCAGGCCGAAGCCGAAGACTAAGCTTAAAGCTAGCCTAAACCCAAGCCCAAGTCTATGCCTAAGCCTAAGCCTAAGCCTAAGCCTAAGCCTAAGCCTAAGCCTAAGCCTAAGCCTAAGCCTAGCCTGGCCTAAGCCTAAGCCTAAGCCTAAGCCTGGCCCAAGCCTGCCGGCCTGGTCCTAAGCCTAAGCCCAAGCCTAAGCCTGCCTCTAAGCCTCAGCCTGCCCAAGCCCAAGCCTGGCCCAAGCCTAGCCTAAGCCCAAGCCTAAGCCTAAGCCCAGCCTAAGCCTAAGCCCAAGCCTGGGCCAAGCCTGGCCTAAGCCTAGCCGGCTGCCTAAGCCCAAGCCCAAGCCTAAGCCAGGCCTAAGCCTAAGCCTAAGCCTAGGGCCTGCCAGCCAAGCCCAGGCCTAAGCCTGCAAGCCTAAGCCTAAGCCTAAGCCTAAGCCTAAGCCTAAGCCTAAGCCTAAGCCTAAGCCTGGCCCAAGCCTAAGCCTAAGCCTAAGCCTAAGCCTAAGCCTAAGCCTAAGCCTAAGCCTAGGCCTAAGCCTAAGCCTAAGCCTAAGCCTAAGCCTAGGCCTAAGCCTAAGCTTAAACATAAGCTTAACCTATTCATTTTTCAGGTGCCACACGCCAAACATGGCGTTTTTACAATGCCTACACCGTCCGGAAAACGCAGATATCTTTGGAAAACGGTACTTAAACCTTAGTAAAATTTGTATAAAAAATCTATAGCTCAAAAGCGGCCTAATATTTGCGGTCGGGTACATCGAAGGGAAACTTCCGGCACACGTTCACGTCCAGGAACTGCAAGAGCGACAAACGGAAAAACTAGAGCATCTGGTTTACAACCGATTTGATCTTCAGGTAGCTGGAATTCAAACTTTTGATAAAATACTTTCCCTAGCGCGAGCTCCACCACCATTGCGCATTTCACGGAGCGCTATCCGTCAAGGGAAAAGCCTCACTTTTCCTCCCCTCCTCGGCTTTTGAGCCGTTGGCCCGTCGACTTGATCCGACTGAGCAGTTGGTGAACAACTACTGGGTAAGTTAGTCAAGTAGCTAACTGAATCTCTCGCTGTTGTAAGGTATATCTCAACGATCGTATCGGTGTCATCCGATCGTCTGCTATAAAACCAGGAGTCCGAGAAGAAGCTGGGACGATGAGTGCCATCGCGAAACTGTGGATAGAAGCTGAGCGTAGGTTTTAGAGGGATGTTAAATCGAGGAGCTGGTTAAGCCTAAGCCAAAGCCTAGGTCGCAAACTATCCTTTTTAGACGATCCAGTCGTAATCCGTCGTTTCGTCGCCTCCCGTCGTGGTCTCCTCGTCTCCTACCCGGCCGTCGTCCTCGACGAGTCCCATGACCCAAGAACCCAACTCTGGTTCCAAAAAGCCCTAGAGAACCCAAAACGACTGGCAATCACCGGCCCAATAGCCGATCCACTACTCGGGGATACTGTGGTCCTATCGACAGTACTATCGTATGGGCACCAGGTAAAATTTTGAGAGGCCTTCTTCTTCTCTCTCTCTCTCTCTCTCTCTCTCTCTCTCTCTCTCTCCTCCCTCCCCCCTCTCTCTCGCCGGAAGTCCAAATCCTGTCAAATAAAATTGATTCAGGACATGTTCGTCGTCGGGGTCGAGGTGACGCTCAACTTTCTGGAGCACGTCGTGCAAAGGACGGTTTCGGCTTGTAGCGAGGTGAGGATTAGGTATATATCGTAGAAAATTAGAGGATTTTCGGGTACATAAGAGGTCGAAAAAAGCTCTCTTTGACTGGTAGGTCGCACCTAACACTTTTCGTTCGCGACCGTGTAGCGCATGAAAGGTACACTAAAGTCTCGTTGGTTTGGTTACCGGCCGGTAACCGTCCGCGGGATAGCAAACAAGGTTACGGTAGGCGCTTGCCGCGGAGCAAAAGCGAACCCTGGCTGCCAGTCTTGGGCAGCGCCTTGGACCACTAGGCCAAGGGAGAGACGGGAAGCGGGAGGAAAGGCCGAAAAGGGCTGGTCGGCTCCGGAAAGAGCGCCAAACTTCCTAACGCGACCGAACTTTTGAACAAGATTTAGTGTACTTTTAGGGGCTTGAAGCGCCATAGAAATCGTCTGTAAAAATAAAATATATGTAAATAAAATAAATACAAAAAATATTCCATTTCCAGGGTCGTCGCTGTCTTCTTCTCACCTCTATCGGAAATGTTGTAGCGCTACCTACAGAGTTGCTACACACTCTATCGGTTGACGCTGTTGAACGGTAAGGTAGCAGAAGCTCTTTGAGACACCTCTCACATCTCACGAACCTTTCATCCCGTTTTCCTTCTCTTTCTCTCCCGCTCTCTCCTCTTTCTCTCTCCCGCTCTCTCTCTCTCTCTCTCTCTCTCTCTCGCTTTCTCTGAGTTCCCCTTTGAATTCAAAACGCAGACTAAATTTCTAGGTACCATCTTGCCCACGTCGATCCGACCCTAACTTCCCATCTCCTGACCGCGCCTCACATCTTCAGGAAGGAGGAGTGCCGTTCTACTAGCGGACACACGCACCACCGATTCCGTTTCAATACGTCGTACAGCCGAGTGGATACGGTAACCCTTTGAAAGTAGCGTTAAAACGAGAATTTAGAAAATGTGCTCCTCGCTTCCACCGCTCTCTCGGCCCCAGGTACAATCCGAGGTGGTGCTCGTTCCACATACCAACGTCTTTTTGGCGCTTATCAATACGAGTTGCGTGAGGAGGAAAGAAGCTGGGGTAACGATTATAACGTTAAAGGCACTTTCGATGTGCGGAAATCGACAATTGACTCGACTAGGTCTCGACAAGTGCGTTGGTCAACGCACGCAAACGAATTTGTTACGAAAGTGCGGAAAATATAGAACAAAGGGAAGGAGAGGGCCGCAAAGAAGAAGGAAAGCGCCCGGAAGGGTACCCTTAATGACGACAATCCTTTTCAGCACTTCTGCCCCTGCTCGGTCTCCGATCGCCGGTGCCTATTTTGTGCTCGTTTTGACGAGAATGAGTGCGAGTGCCCGTGTCAATGTGGTCCCAACCGGGCTTCGGCGTGTGATACTGGTGAGTGGGAGCTGCAGCTAGTTTTTGTAAAGCCATAAACCTTCCTTCTACAACCCTCAAGTCCCGTTTAGGACCCAAGGACGTTCATAAAACGACAACCCTCTGTACCCCAGATACAGTACCATACCCTCCAAATTACGCCAAGGCCCCGCACTACTTGGAGGAGTGCCAGCCAAGCAGGTTGGGGTTAGACTAGTTTTTTTCTTCTCTCTCTCTCTCTCTCTCTCTCTCTCTCTCTCTCTCTGTCTTGCTCTCTCTCTATTTCTCTCGCTCTATCTTTCTCTCTCTGTCTTGCTCTCTCTCTATTTCTCTCGCTCTATTTCTCTCTCTCTCTCTTCTCTCTCTCTCTCGCAATCATACCTCATTTTAGTTGCCCCCAATTCCACTCGCCATCAAGCTGCAACCTGCGCCCGGGATGTACCTGGTGCCAACAAGAACCCAAAGGAATGGACTTGACCCAACCATCTTGCCGACCAACCCCACTATGTTATAGAGGAATGCTGGGGCGAAGCGTATTAAATAGTAAGTTACTGGATGCTTTCCCCATAATTGTCTCTCAGCAAATGGCCTCGACGCGCCACGCGACGCACAGAACACGCCATCTACCCCGGTATCGTTGATCGGAGCTTTGGTGGGAAGTGTCATCATCGGATTGGCGATCGCTATTTTTACCTGCTACAGAAATCGGGTGAGTTTTGGGGTTCTGAGAGAGAGAGAGAGAAAGAGAGCGAGAGAGAGCACGAGAGTGAGAGAGAAAGAGAGAGAGACTAAAACTCATTTTTTTTAGTCCAACCGCCTCCGTGAACGCCGAATCTGTAACAGCGACCAGGGCGGCACCCTATTCTGTGGACGCTTCGGAACCCTCGAGCCAAACGAAGATTTCTATTTCGATCACGAGGGGCTGAGCCGAGGTGAACAGGATTTAGCATCAATAAGTTGGGCCATAGCGCCTGATCCCGAACCATTTGAGCATGAGCCTTTTCAGAAAAGCTGATTCTCGCCTCATTCGAAAGATCTGGAGGTGGACCACCGTCTCCAAGACCTGCACCCAGGGGTCCACCTACCGTTTCGGATCTTGGGTATTCGACAATGACGGAGCGGACGAATGAGGGTAGTGATGCGGGAACTAGGTAAGCGCAAAATTCTGATACGGCGCGTTCGATCGTAGTGTAGCGTAACCGGAGCATAGCATATACGGAGTGAAACGTACGAATTCTGTTAAGGTATCATTTCAGTTCAAACCTGCCCGGAATCCGGATAAGAGTCACAGACGGCCCTGCCGGTCAGCCGTTCACCCGGCTGAGCCGACTTCCGGAGTCTCCGCTAAAGTGTGTACCCCTGGATCCACACGGCATTTCGTTGTCCTCCTCGAGTTCGGTGGTGACGACGGAAGCTGATATTCATCCGCCTCCACCCCCACTTGTCGCCCACCTAATCGATTAAATTTACAGAATTAGTATTTAGTAGTAAGCGAGGCCCAAGCCTATGCCAAAGTTATGCTTCTCCAAAAATGACTGCTAGCTTGCCCACATCCTCCCATTAATGCAACAATGCATTACCTAATATTATGTAACCTACCACTCTGTTCTCTCTCCCTCTCTCTCTCCCTCTCTCTCTCTCTATCTCTCTCTCTCGCGTTCTCTGCTTTACCCCATGTCAAATACAGGTGATATATTCTGCTCGGGATCTTATGTGCTTCAATTACCCTACCCTGCCCCCATTGCCATGCCACTCGCTTTTGCTCTCTGCAATCCAACGGGTTCCCCTATTTGCGTGTTGCCAAAAATTACTGTATTGCAGATTTTGATAAATCAGGGATTTTATTAAGAGCTCGTTCACATGAATCAAAGAAGAATTAAACATGCATGTACATTTTTCAGGCATTAATAGATCGGCTTTGTCGAGTGGCCTGAATATGCAAATTTTCACGAGAAAAGGACCCACATCGAAATTGCTTTATCAGCGCTAAAGACGTCAAGAACACTAACTGACTTTTAAAATTACCTTGCCCTCAACGTGTCGCCCCATTGTGTCGCTCCAAAATTGGCGGAAATGGGCAGAGGCTGGGTGGCGGCTGCGGAGAACATGCCTGAGGTTCGAGGTTTTTGATGTTTGCTGTTGGTTCTTAGCGACTTGGCCACTTTGGGAATAGGCCAATTTATTGATTATATGCTTTTTAGTTTAGACCGAGCAGATAACTTCACTCTCCTTCTCTCTCTCTCTCTCTCTCTCTCTCTCTCTCCCTCTCTCTCTCCCTCTCCCTCTCTCCCTCTCCCTCTCCCTCTCTCTCTCTCCCTCTCCCTCTCCTCTCTCTCTCTCTCTCTCTCTCTCTCTCTCTCTCTCTCTCTCTCCCTCTCTCTCTCTCTCCGGCACGCTTCCCTAATCCTTTCTCATCCTCCACTACGATCAGCCATTCTACTATGTATCAAGCCTTACCCATCAACAAGATTCTTAACCCCACCAAGTACAAGACCGTAATTGGATTCTTAGCACCACCGCAAAAAGTGCATCCTGAGTCTGGATTTATATTTACAAGGCCTGGGAACGTCTTCGCATCTGCCAAGTATTTTCAAACGAGCTGCCCGCCTTTCCTTTGCCCGTGTAATGTGATGTCCTGTTTTGTGGGACTCTTGAGGGGGACCTCCCCCTCTCTCCTCTATCCACCCCGGCTTCTCCATCACACGTCTCGTGTCAATGATCGTGGATGGGCTATGATGGCTCGACTCGTCGACATCTCTCACCTTTAAGTGTGCCTCACAGGCTTTGGACTTTAACACCTCCTCGCGGTTTGGGGCGTTTTTGTGAGCGATTTTTGAGCGACGATCGGTCGAAGGGTTGCGTTTCGGGTGTTTCAAAGTTCAAGGCGCATCCCATTTTGAATAGCTTTACTTGATTTCTAAGCTTCTACGCAAGAGCAGAAACCTAAGCCTAAGTCTCAGACTAAGCCTAAGTCCAACCTAAGCTTAATCCTAGCCTAAGCCTAAGCCTAAATCTCAGCTTAAGTCTAATCCTAAGCCTATGCCTAAGCCTCTGAACGCAGGCCAAGCTTTTCAAAGACTCTTCAGGCGTGGTGTGTTGTGGAGCTTAGTTGTCGGGACCTAGCGGCTGAAAGAGTAGAATTTCGCGTAATTGCGTAGAAATCTTGCGTAGAAAAATCAGAATTTCTGGAGTCAATCAGGCCTAAACGCGCTTCAGTCCGAACCCTGTTCCCGAGCCGGAACTTCCGGCTCACGTGAGAAATTCAAAGGTGTTGTCTAGAGGTGGAAGTGTTTTCTTGTCCCAAGGTACACGTCGCGGGCACCGGCTTACCATAATTTTCTGGAACTTATGCTCGGCCCCAGGGTTTCTCAGCTGGGGAAAAGCGCAAAGGACGCATAGCCAGTCGGGGGAGCGCACGAATTCTCTTATCTTCGTCTCGAAACATTAGTTTTGGGGCAAAATTATGCGAAATATATCAGGCATTATTTTCTTTTTAAGTTTATTCGTATTTTTGCCTGATTTTCTGTCATTTTTTTTTAGTTTCCCTTGATTTTTGAGTATGATCAATTTCAATTAAGCTGGCCTTCCGGAAGGGACCTTACCCTGATGAGTCCCAAAAAATGAACGACCCCCTGGCCTCAATTTTGTTGGGTAGCTATCCCTGAAGCCGAAACCCCGAAGCCCTCCTCGTCGAATTTTAATCCGACCCCCTTGACGGGTCGCCGTGTGACGGGTCGACGGAGAGCAACCAACCCCCCCGACCACCAGAACATTCCCGCCACCGGTTTTTGGTCGGTTTCGTAGGGGTTTCGAGACCCGAATTGAGTCAGTAAATTAAGTTATGTAGAATAGGCATCTAAGTGTGTTTTCGGTAATATTAAAGGGACGCGACGGTGTACAATGGATTTTGTTGTCACGGCGTACGGTTGCTTACAACGAGACGTTTTTGAGCTTCGTCCGAACTTCGAGATGGGACCAAGTCTTTCTTGAGCAGAATTTTGCACACAATTTTATTTTTTTCCAATCCAGGAATTTTCTTTTATCATTCTGCTTCTCGTTCGATTTTCACGCATTCACCCTCGATCCTCCGATTCTTGCATGAATTTGCATGCGTAGGGCCACCGGCTTGGACCTCTGGCCGCCAGACAATTTCGGGTAACTCGTAAAAGTGAGCTGCTGTCCTCCTGCCAGCCGGGCAACAATCCGCCCCTTTCGATTATTCAGCCGAATTCCGGGCGGCCACCACGCTCGTCCTCGCATCGCCCTTTAATTGAAAATCTGGGCCCCTGGGCTGGGGGCCAATAGTGCTTTGGACAATCCTAGTGTGGATTGGGACTTTTGGGGTTAAGGGGGTACCGGGGTAGGTTAAGGTATAATTTTTTTTTTACCCTTTTTATTTTTAAAATTAATTAAAAACCAAAACCCCTAATTAAACCCAACCCCCCCAAAACATAAAAAATAAAAAAAAAAAAACAAAAATAAAAATTATTTTTATTAAAAAAAAAAAAAAAATTATTTTTATTAAAAAAAAAAACCAAAAAAAAAACAAACCAAAAAAAAAAACCAAAAATAATAAAAAAAAAAAATAAAAAAAAAAAAAAAAAAAAAAAAAAAAATCTCCAACATAAACAAAAACCAAAATAAAAAAAAAAAAAAAAAAAAAAAAAAAAAAAAAAAAAAAAAATAAAAAAAAAAAAAAAAAAAACAAAACCAAAAACAAAAACAAAACCCAAACCAAAACCCCAACCCAAACCCACCCCCCCCCACCCAAACCCCCCCCCCCAGCCTAAGAACTAATGATGTAATCCAAGCAAAGCTCAAAGCTGCAAAAAAAGCTAGTCAAAGCCGAAACCCCGAAATGAAGCTCAAAAAACGAAGCACAAGCACTTTCCGCTTAGGAACACCCTCGTATCCCCGTGTCCAGACTACTGACCACTGCTGCCCTTGTTGTTCCACGCTATCCCAAGCCGAAATTCGACAAATCCTAGATCGTAAGCGAGGCGTCACATCCCCTCCCATCCCTTTATCTAATAACATGGTCGTGCCGTGGGACGACACCAAAAGGGAGAGGGACACACCCCGTCAGAATCGTCTATTCCAGCTCTAGCTAGGAGGGGTCGAGACTTTTTGTTAGTGGCGGCTTCAGCTGCTCATCAGGGATGCCCTTCCCTCCCTTTGCTACCACTACTACCTCAGTCTCCACATTCAACCTCCTCCCCTCGTTCCACCAAACACATGGGGCCCTTTGGAGGGATGCTCGCAACACTCACGTTGGGGCCTCCGGGCCTTGGGTTTGACCTGGTCCCAAAAAAAAAAAGGGTTTTTGGGTGTCTCGGAAATTTTACCAACTTATTTGACTGGCTTAGATACCTCATGCTTACCGTAACAACCTTACTTCTGCTTACAAGTAGGGCCTTTGAGCGTCCAGAGAGTTTAGACAGGCCAACCAAGTTTATTTTATGTAGCTCGTGCTCCTAAGCCTAAGGCCAAGTCTAAACCTAGCTTATAACGCCTGTTTTGCCAAGCAAAGCAAAAAAATTCACGTAGTTAACTATTTTATGTACCTTAAAGCCTCATAACCTGTATCTGCGTTTCGCAAATTGTAAAGATAGGTTTTCTTCAGCAAAAAAATTTGCATACGATAGGATCGGTTTTATTTCTCGCAATCGGGCAAACTAGCGGAGATCCTCTTGGAAGCTTCTCTCGCTTTCCCCCGGTCACTCTTTCTCTCTCTCTCTCTCTCTCTCTTTCTCTCTCTCTCCCTCTTTCGTTCACTCTCCCTCTCGCTCTCGCCTCTCTCTCTCCCACTCTCTCTCACTCTG